CATGCATTATGTCAGGTCTTGTAGATGTCAAATACCAAAGGCTACCTACTACTTGCTTGTACATAGTTGAATTCAACCTTTTTCCAGTATCATTTTTCGAGAGTTTTAGACCAACTTCACTGGGGGTAGTGACTGGATTACAGTCCCTCATCATGAACCTGTCCAAGATTTATGATATATATTTCCTTTGAGAAATAAAAATACAATCAGACATTTGCAGCACCTCAATACCAAGGAAATGATGCATTAAACCCAAATCCGTCATATCAAATTCTTCCATCATAGATTTCTTAAAACTCACCAGCATAACATGGTCACTCTTGGTATAAATAAGATCATCCACATATAAGCACACAATCAATACCTTATTATCATCTTCGTGCTTTGTGTAAAGAGTGTGCTCGTACGGACATTTGACGAAGCCTTCTTTGGTAAAGTAAGCATCTATACGACTATACCATGTTCTCGGCGCTTGTTTTAGCCCGTATAGTGCCTTTTTTAACTTGTAGACCTGATTTTCACACCCTTTCTTCACATAACCAGGAGGTTGGTCAATGTACATTTCCTCTTTCAACTCTCCGTGTAGAAATGTAGACTTCACATCGAACTGATGGACTAACCAAGAATGTTGGGCAGCCATAGATAACATCAAACGGACAGTATCCAACTTTGCTACCGGGGAAAACACTTCTTTAAAATCCACGCCAGGCTTCTGCTCATATCCTTTTGCTACGAGTCGAGCTTTATACCGTTCAACTCCGCCATCTTTGTTTAATTTCGTTTTATAAACCCATTTAACACCAATGGATTTTTGCCCCTTTAGAAGTTCGACAAGCTCCCAGCTATGATTTTTCTCGATGGACTCAATTTCTTCATTCATTGCTATTTGCCATTCCGAACAATTTACAGCCTCTTGAAATGTAATAGGATCACAATCCGATAAGAAAGCATAGTGAGCAATATCTGATTGAATACCACTAACCTCATAATCTTGCATCCACGTTGGCCTCGTTCGAACACGACGAGTGCGAGATTCAGTAGCTACTGGTACACTTTCACAACTTACTACAGGTTCATTTGGCGAAATTTCATGACTGGAAGTTGGTTGCTGTTGAGATTGGTAATGTTCATCAATTTCTTCATCAAGAATGGTTTGTTCTGGTTGTTCGTCCTTCCAATTCCAGGTGCTTTCTTCATCAAAAACAACATCTCGACTAGTCACAATTTTCTTCGTGGCTGGATTATATAGCTTATACGCTTTGGACGCTTCAGCTATACCAAGAAAAACACACTTTTCACTTTTGTCATCGAGTTTCTTCCTTTTCTGGTCTGGGACGTGTGCATATGCTATGCACCCAAATATTCTAAAATGATTAACAACTGGTTTACGCCCACTCCATGCCTCCTCCGGTGTCATGTTTCGAACAGAAAATGTGGGACTTCTATTCAGCACATGAATACTCCAATTTATTGCCTCTGGCCAAAAGGACTTTGGGACTTTTCCTCTTGCCATTAAACTTCTTACCATATTAAGAATGGTACGATTTTTCCTTTCTGATACACCATTTTGTTGTGGTGTATAAGTAGCAGTAAGCTCCTTCCGAATGCCTTGTTCATCACAAAAATGAGAAAATTCCTTCGAGCAATACTCGCCACCACGATCAGTTCGAAGTATTTTAATGGCTTCATTAGTTTCTTTCTCGACATGTGCCTTAAATAGTTTAAACATGCTGAAAGCTTCTGACTTCTCTTGAAGAAAATAAACCCAAGTTTTTCGACTATAATCATCAATGAAGGTAAGAAAGTATTTTTTACCTCCATTAGAGCATGGGTTTATTGGCCTGCAAATATCCGAATGCACCAATTCAAGGATTTTCTTTGCCCTCCAAGATTTTCCTTGAGGAAATTTCTCCCTATGCTGCTTGCCAATGATGCATTCTTCACACACCTTTCCGGGAGGAGTAATTTGAGGAAGACCGATTACCATATTTTTCTGATGAAGTGTCTTCAGGCCATTAAAATTTAAATGGTCGTAACGAAAATTCCAACGCCACATTGGATCATCATTGGTTGCTGAATAACACTTAATAGTCCTAATTTGCAGCGGAAACAACCTGTTCGATGTCATTTCGGCTTGAGCGATAAGGCCTCTTCTGGAATCATAGATTTCACACGCACCATTCTTAATTGTCACCGTGTATCCCTTTTCTTGCAGTTGCCCAAGGCTCAGCAGGTTGCTTTTTAAGCCAGGGACATAGAACACATTTGACATTATTTCAACATTGCCATTGTTGGTCCTGATGTGAACATCTCCTTTTCCCATAACATCTATTTTGGAATTATCACCAAAACTCACATCCGTGCGGTAATCCTCATTTAAGTGAGAAAAGAATGACTTAGTTCCACACATATGGTTACTGCAGCATGTATCAAGGTACCATATGTTAGCTTCAAGCTTGTTCTTGTCGTCATGGACCGTCATCAATAAAGTTTCGTCTTCATTCTTCTCAACATAATTCAATTTCTCCTTTCCTTTATCTTGAGGTAGTTTCGTATAACATTCAAATCGATAATGGCCATATTTATGACATCAATGGCACTCTACATTCAACTTGTCATGATAACGTCCTCTCCCTCGGCCTTGAGAAAATGACAGGTTGCTGTCTGAATTAAGTTTCTGAAATTGTCTGCCCCCAACTCCTCGTCCTCCACCTCCATCTCTATTACTTTGAGCTCTTCTTCCTCTACCTCTGCCGCGATCTGCTGATCTGTTTCCATTATTCTCCATTGAGACTTTTAGAACTTGTTCTTCTTTCTCATTTTTCTCATTTTCTTGCTGATCAAATCTGTGCTCGTGAATTAACAAGGAACTTTGCAATTCATCAATCGAAAGCTCATCGATATCATGAGATTCTTCGATAGAACACACAACGAAATTATTCTTTGGTGTTAACGACCGAAGAATCTTTTCGACAATTGTGACATCCTCAGTCTTGTCACCATGAATCCGCATCTTGTTGACAATTGCCATTGTCCGTGAGAAATAATCACTGATGGACTCTCCACTTTTCATTCGAAGTGTTTCAAATTCCGAACGAAGAGCTTGTAGCTCCTGCCTCTTTGCTCTTGTTGTACCTTGGTACTTCTTTTTCATGGAGTCCCATATCTGCTTTGAAGTGCTTTTGTTGAGGATTGTCTCTAGAACCGAACGATCGATCGCCTGGAAAAGATAATTTTTTGCCTTGAGATCTTTCAGTCTTTGCCCTTGTAATTCTTTCTTTTGGGCATCTGTCATCACTGTGCCAGCTGCTGGCTCCGGCACCCCATTACAAACCACATGCCAATACTCTTTGGATCTTAAGAAATTCTCCATGAGCATACTCCAATGATCATAATGACCATCAAAACGTGGAATGGCTGGTTGAACAAAATTGTCTCCTGCCATGAGAATATTGCTACTGCAAGAGGAAAACAAAGTGGAGATGGGAAGGACTAATTTCTTTCTGCTGATTTTCTCTCTATATTTTTCCGTACTGGCTCTGATACCACTGATAAAAATTCTAATAGCTCACGGATTGAGAGAGTTTATCATACTCTTTATTCACTAAAAACAGCCTTTAAATAGGCAGTAGTACAACAAAACTGAATGCATAAAAATAGGACATTATCTATACTAACTTGCACCTACTAATTAGGAGATAAAATATCAACTAAACTAAACTTGACTTAATCAAACAAAAGACAAGACTTATTCAAGTGACCTATTGAATTCTAACAAGATTAACAGTCTATTTAAGCAAAATCAGTCATACGTCAAAACAAGATTTTCGTAATAGCTCAAGCAAAGTCAAATCCACTAGTCCCTGATGTTGAGAGATCATAGTTCATAACAGACCATTAGCTCAGACACGAAATTTGCTCAGGTAAGAGAGGAGGAAAAAAATAAAATGCAGCTGTTCGAACATCGAACAAAGTTCTAAAATCTTACAAAACGCTCATCAAAGCATATCCGTAGGAAAGGAAGAAACGCAACGTCCCGAAACTCTTCGACTTAACGTTTTGCACCTCAACGTAACACAATCCGACATATCTAAACTCTAACCTACACGACATGAAGAATTCTCGACAGAGAAGTTCCCATTACAAGTTACAACTCATCCTTCAAGTCCTCTTCAGGTGCTGCTTCCTCGGCCTTAGTAGATGAAGAAGACGAGTCAGTTTCCGTGGTCTCGACCTCTTCCACATCATCTTCCTCCTCAACCAATGCATCTGGGCTGATGTTAAGGCTGTTTTTCACCGAGCTGTAGATTCTAGAAGCAAAGTCCTTTGGATCATTGAGCACAAACCCGCTCTCCATAAGTGCCGTCTGGTACATTAGCTGAGCTGTTTGCTTCACGCTCTCATCCTGTTCGAGAATAATTACACAATTATAGTCCCAATTTACAGAAAAGAATGGCAAAAAATACATTTTCTGTTCTGTTGTTTTAAGTTTTTAACAACATAGCAATTTTAGTCCCAAGATTTAACTTTTCGCCTTTTGGTTATGTGATTCAATATTTTGCTGCCATTTCAGTCATCTGAAGACTGATATTGCAACATATTTTTAAATTTACAAGACTGAAATTGCACACAGGACTTGAATTGCTGAGCGAAAATTTGGGAATTTGTTGCAATTTCAATTCTCAAATGACCGACAAATTATTAAACCACAGTACCAAAAGGCGAAATGGAACTTTGGGACTTCAATTGCTATGGCATTAAACAGGACCAAAATTGCAATTTTGCAAAATAAAAAAAAATAAAATAAAAAAAAATAAAATAAAATAAAATTGCATATTTATTGATTTTGAATGTAATAACTTTTATTCTTTTATTTATTTACTTATTTATTTTTTTGGAATTTTGGTTACCTCCGGGTCCTTGACGACCCTTTCACGGAGCTCCTTGATGATCGGGTGCCTGGGGTTGATCTCGAGGACTCGCTTCCCGCGCATGTAGGCTTGTTTGCTGGCATCCGAGAGGGTCTGGGACTGCATGATCCTCTCCATGTTGGCACTCCAGCCGAATTTTGAGGTCACGACCACACAAGGAGTGTCGGCCAAACGGTTGCTTATCTTGACATCATCAACGTTTTCACTTGCAAGAGCACCCTTCCACCATTTGGTCAGCTCCTTGAATTCCTCCTTGAGCTCCTTGTCCTTGGAGTTCTTCCCGATTTTCAGGCCCTC